ACAAGGCTGTACAATTTGGCTGTGTGTGCATTTCACTGAAGATTTGCTATTATAGCAGGGTGACTTTTTCCTTTTATTCTCTGCCCTGTATTTATTTTTAACATACTATAAATCTGGAAAATCTTATTAGTTTAACTATGCAGGTGCATCAAGGGCAGACTACTCGTCTTTGGGCTGGGGGCAAAAAAGGATGAAATACTCAGACATGCATATTCTTTTACAATGTCCTGTATTCACTGTTGATAGTAAACCAGCACATTTCATTCCAACACAGCAAAAAGATATATGACTCATAATGTAAAACTCAGTTCTAGAAGAGAGCTGACAACAGGACTTCTGAGGGCAGTGAGCCCCTTTAGGAGTGGGGCTCATGGGAGAAGGGGCAGGAAGTGGAGGTCTTCAGCTTCTTGTTTGTCCCCTACAGAGAGGAAAAATAACGGAGTGTTACTAGGACTGAGCAGAGGAAAAAATGTTGGGTTTTATATTTTTTGATTGTTTTTAGTGTTAGTTTTTGGTTTTTTGCTTTTCTTTTCTTTAAATATGTGGCTTTGTGCATCATCCATTAACTCAACTGCTCAAGACTCATGTCCTGTCAAACAAGACAGAGTATTTCATGGCATTGACTCTGTTTTAACTCCAGTCCTCACATCCTGTGAGCAGCAACGTTGAGCAGTCCTCAGAGAGACTCTCACCTGGGTTCTGTTCATGTCCTGCCAGTGACCTGTGCCATGTACTTGAAGTCTTTGTGCCTCTTATGTTACCTGTTCTGTCTACTTAGGAGATAAGGTCTGCTGATCAGTTATGTGACTGGGTATCCTAACATTTCCCTTAAGCCTTAACATCTCTGTGCCAGACATTAAACATACTTCTTTCTATTTTAATATAGCCTATCTTCCTAAAAGTGGCTATGTTTTAAAATTAGACCCTGCAATGAGTAGACCATGGTATTCTGTCTTTCTTTATTATGATGTGAGGTTAATGACCCTTCAGTTACTGCTCTGCTGGGATTTTTGTAATGTCCTGGCATGTGAAAAGGTCTTTATTTTTTTGTTGTTTTGGCACTATGACTTTTAGAGTTGATTTCTTTCTATAATTATTAATACATGCTTTCTAAAAGCTGGTTCCAGTGTAGGATTGCCCTATTCTGACTGAAGGAAAATTAAGGCTAGAGTTTATCTGAAGAACCAAGACAGTCAACATTTGACTCAGACAAATAAAATCTCTCAGTAAAGTCTTAGAATTCTGGAATAAATTTGGTAAGAATGAAGAAATTCCTTTCTAACATTCCAGAGCATTTTAAGAACGTGCTATTTAACACAAGGATATTGTGAAAAATGAGTCCACTGAAACCAGTAAAGTTTAGTCAAGTGATGGCATGAAGCCTGACACAGCAATAGCAGAGCAATCATCTTTGCTAACCTAGGATGGAATTCACTGGTTTCAGTACGAGATGATGCTCAGAGCCCGTAACTCTGACCAGCTGTAGGGGATAAGGTTGGACTGAGGAGGAGATTGGTAAGCAGGAGCAGAAACGGCATTAAGGGACAAATACAGTTCAAGTCCTTGTTGTTAATTTATGTTAAATATGGTAAATGCTTCCTGTAAAATGTCTAAGCAAGTTATTAGACAAATAAACACTTCTGCTACTGTATTTAAACACCCAAAACGTTTTGAGCTTTTAGTCTGAAATGTTTCTCAATGCTCTTCAATTTTCAAGCATCAAACTAAACAAAGATTGACAATTAGAAGATCAGCATGAAACTTGTTTTTCCTCTAATATATATTTTTTTCCCCATGCAAGTAGAACTCTAATTATGCCACAATTTGGTATATTATAATACATAAATGAATCATGATATGGCTGAATTAGAAACTTAAAGTGCTCACTTGAGGAAAACTGGGCTCCTGATAAACAGATTTATAGCCTAATACTGTTCTGGGCTTCTAATAAATAGAATCATAACATAATACTCTGAAGTATTTTACGGTTTTCCTTTCAAAGGTTTCAGAATGCTGTTTTAACGATAACAAATTAATCCTAAAACACAATTGTGAGATACTTGTCTACAGAAAAAGTTAATACATGTTAAAGCTAAGTAATTGACTTGCTCAAAGTCAGAGGGCAAACCTGCAGGGGTGGGAAAAAAAGAAGCCAGTTGAAGGTTGCTGGGTGGTCAACCTTCTGTGCTAGAGGTAGAAAGCACTTCAAAAATTAGCTGTAACAATAAAACGTTCCAGTTGTGAACTTTGCATTTGTCCTTAATTATTCTGAGGTTATTATGAATATTTTTAGGCAAAATGTTCTAGGTGGAATTTTTCCAGTTTTGTATCAAACCTCTTAGGGTTACAGCGGTTGACAGAGTTCCTAATTATGAAGGATTTTTCAGTCAATCAGGGTTGTTTCCAGACGGTTTTAGATAACATGGTTTTTAAACAAACCTGTTTTACAGATGGGGAACTGAGGCACAGAACAACTTGCTGGAGGTCACCCTGGACTGAATTCTGGTCTCCTGTGTGTGTGCTCTCAGCTATGTTGTGCTCTGTCACTGGGTCGTTCTTTCTCTCAATTCTGCTATCTACACACAAACACACAGTACAAGAAAATGAATATTTTTCTGAGTTAAAAAGCATCCAAGTGTGAGGCCAGCAATGTCAGATTCATCATCCATAATACGCTGAGATGTGCAAGAATTTACTAGTCCTTATATACAGACCTAGAAGAAGTCAAACTCAAGGGCAACCATGGCTGAGAAGTACTAGCATCAATGAAGTAGAATAAAAGAAAACCCATAGTCTAAGAAAGTCTAACTAGAAGATGATAGCTGATGTACACTGTACAATATCAGAGAAGAATGGGGATATTCACAAAAGCTAACCTAAGCCTACTAAGGCTAATGAACAAGGCACTTTTTATAGTTAAAAGACAGAAATTCCTCTCCAGGCTGACCACCAGCAGAAACTTAAATTAGCCACTGTTATAGAGGCAACCCATGGAGATCTGCTTTTGTAACAGTCTTGTCCCTCACTGTCTCTCTGCTATAGAGTCTTATTAACTTATTTTTAATACATCAGTTCAGTGCTTTTGAAGTAATGTTTGAATATTTCTATGAAACCATCCTTATTTCTTCCTTCTTACATTTTACAGGAAAATACAAATGTTCAAAATGAGTTCACAGCCTTCTTCCTCACCAGAGCAGCGTGCTCTGTTCCCAGAACAAATTCCGCTGCAGGAGCATCAGAAGCATTTTGCCGTGCCAACTTCCCAACCTGGGGCTCTAGAGATTTTAACAGAAGAGTTCAACTGGAAATCATTAATTTTGTGAGCATCCTAGAATTACTCATAAGACATCATCTTATGGAAGCTTAGGGAAGCATGCAGAAAAACTCAGGTCAGTTTTATTCCCCAGGTGATCTAAGAGCCTGAGTAGCATCTAGAGCTTTCTTAATCAACAGGAGGGCTGCTCATTCGAATAGGGTAAGAATTTCACCCTCCAATTTTGGGCTTAACATTAGGAAGCACACCGGTTAAGATTTTCACATTTCTTTCTGTCTGTCCATGGTTAGGCAATACTAAAAGTTTTAAACTTTTTTTTTTAAGAAATAAAAGCCAGATGCTGAAAAAAATGAAGAAAGCTAGGCTTATTGGTATATAGCCCCCAGAACAGATGTCTTACAAAGTCAAGCAAAAATATACAGTTTGTAAAATATGACTGCCTGCAAATAACCTGGAGATATCATAGGTCACAACCCATCAGAATCTCTTTCAAGCAGCTTTTGATTTCATTTTGCTCTAATCTTACAAGAAGGTGAGTTTGTCAACTTAAGTTTCTACCAATTACACAACTTTGAATCAAAGTGACTTTTGTGACACTGCAATAAAATTACATGGCAAGACCATCAGCAATCTGTTATAATGTTAATATATTAAATCTGTTACAGCCTGTTCTGCTGAAATACTCTAGAAATGTCAACTCACCACACAAACAGAAGAAAAATATGGGTGAAAATATTAACCACAAACAAATAAAGGCATTTGAAACTTGTTTTCTTAAGATAAGAGATTTTGTGCCCAGGTTCATATATAAAACCAGATCTTTTGAAAACAGGAACAGTTAAATATTTTCAGACATTTATATTATTGAAGTGGAAATTATATTTGATAGTTTTATCCAAATTTAATTGTATGCTCATTACCAAAAAGACTGCCATTATGAAATCAGATAGCTGTACAATTAATATACATAGAATTTAATTCAAGGAATATTTCTACTGTTACTTCTTTTTTAATTCTGCAATATAGGCACACATTTCCAGCACCATTTCAGTAAAAAGTGGTAGAAGCTGTCAATACTTCCATTCCAAACCAAAATTATGATCCTAAAATGCGATAGCCAAAAGATAAAACAAAGTGTCTTACACATGGAGAATTTGCAGATTATACTCAACTTTTTATAAAAAGTCAAAATATCGCTATAAACACCAGCTTTTAAAACATGGTTTTACTTCAAAAAAAGCAAGAACAATCCATGTTAGGCATCAAAATTAGTTATGCTAGAAACAAGTGACTTACCTTAATAGAAAATACACTATGTAGAAAGTTTTCTTGCAATAGCAAATGGCTATGACAACTTGTTGAGACAAAAATGGGGATTGAAATGTCACAGGAAACAGCATACACTTTTATTGTTGGCTTGTTTGGAGTAAACAAAAGTAGTAATCTCATACCATTAAACGAAACCCCAATCTTTGAAAAAAATTAATGAGTGAGCCAATTAATAAAAACAATTGCATCCATAAAAAGTGTGGTATTTCTTTCAGTATACAAAATTTTAAAAAATAATATAAGTGCATAATTCTGCACCTAATTTAATTTGCAGGTTTGTGTCTGAATAAAAAAGTGCCTGCTTACTTGCTCAAAATATTAAATTTTATACCTTTTATACTACCCCATTTAAATGTTATCAAACAAAGGAATAATACAAAAGAGCCTTAATACTCACATTTGGTTATAAGCTGCTTCTCTTGGTAACTTGTGCAGCAAAATAAAGGAAGAAATAATTACACGTCTTCACAAAAACAAGCATTCATCAAGTCCAAAAGAAACAGAATACTTTGCCAGAGCTATTTGAGGGTCCCATCAGAATTTGGCTGGATGGAGGAAGGCTGAGGGTCAGTTTGTTTCCCTTAGACCTCATGACATGCAAATAGCTGGCTGCCTCACCACTGAATCACATCATTCTTTGACATACTGTGTTTACAAACTGCAAATACATACCACGTAGGAGGTTCTTAAAGGAACATATTTCAGAAACTTGTCAAAAGGAAAAAGGCAATTCTGTTAAACTAACGAATCAAAAGCCCCAAAACCCCCCAAAATTCAGTTCAAAGGGAAAAGAAAAGGAAAAAAAGAGGGATCACCATTCATTCCCAGATACACTTTGACCCATGGATCCAAAAGATCTCATGTGAGTTTGTAAACCAGAAAAGAAATAGAGACGTCATGATTACTGAAGTCTGACTGTACAGGAAATGGGGGGCAGAGAGAAACACTTTTCTAGTTTCAGAAAAGCCTTTCAGGGGCCCTGCAGAACTCCTCTGACACTACTAAAGCGACCTGCGGGCTGGAACATCTGCTGCTCATCCAGCAGGCAGGAAGGTAAAGTCGCTGCTGGAAGTAAGGATGTTGTGTCCATTTAAAAATGCAGGCTGAAGCTAAGCAAAGTGAAAATAAGGATGGCTGCCTGTGGTATGAACCATGACTGACCTCCAGGCAGAGTTTTCCACAACCAAGCGCCAATAGATCTGAATCATTTAGTCTATAATGGCAAGTGGGTGAGAGCTGGTTTATATCACAGATAGAAAAAAGATGGAAATGTTTAAATAGTTTAAAAGTGTATTATGTTATCTGAAGACTTTGGTAAAATTGCCAAACCTGGACACATTCTGGAGGTTATCTGTGTCTAGGAAGTATCTTGCAATTAAGAATGATCCTCTGATTATTAACTGTCAAGAACTGAGCATCTCTATATGTGGCTGACCGGTTTATTAAACCTCTGCACTTGCTTTGTCATATACTTAAACTAGATTGAACTATTTCCTCCTATTTTCATATGAGCTAAAAGATTGATTTATACAAAGCACTTTTCCAGCTTGTGATTTTTGCAGATTGAGAAGAGAGAGAAGAAGTTATGTGTGAATTTTAGTCCAAAATGAGAATCATGAATACCTTCCACTTGCCTTTACTTCCAGAAAGAGAAAACTGAAAGTACAATTCTTGACTAAGTACCTTTTGAAGTACACACACGAGAGCAAGACAAAAGTATTGCCCAAACAGATCTGTCAAGAGAGCTAATGACACTCAGAAGTACTTCTAACACAATACATTCTTTCCAGAAAGGATGAGAAGTACAGACACCTCTATCCTCAGATTGAGCTGTAGGCAGAGATCATAGCTATGTCAATAGAAGATGCGCCCAGAGAAACACTTTGAACAGAATCAAGACTTGTTTTTGTCAACAGGTGTAAATTGAGTACAACTGAGGTCAACAAAACTCTGCTGCTTCTTCAGAGTACGTCAGATGATGTCTCACACAGATCTCACATTTCTTCCTGACCTTCCTAAAGCATATAGCAGCTTATTTAATCTGTATCCAAACATGACCTGTCTTGACATAGCTTTCTCTTCATATTGAGCATTTAGGAAATTAATCAACTAAACTGTGTTTCTCTTTAAACCACTCAAGTTGCTCAGATATGTCATTCCTTAACAATTCCTAAAAAATAAATAAATAAATAGATAGATAAATAGTTTCTTGTTTTCCTGAGAAAACATCTTTGGCATTTACTGAATATGTTCTGTTATTTGGGTCAGCAGAGAAAGGAATTCTGCTCTCGCAAGTATCCTGCTCCAGATAATTACCATTTTCTCTGTTTAAAGTACAATCATAGTTCAAAAAGTTTGAGTAGCACATACTTGGAGGCTGAAAAAAGCACTCAGGGGAAAAATCACTACATGCCTTGTTCTTATAGTCCTCCCTTTTGGCCGCTGTGGGAGACACAATCCTGGGCTAAAGAGACCTTCGATCTGACCAAGTATGGCCACTCCTGTGTCTTCTGCAAGAGTACTAAACTTCCTGTTAAGAAAAACCCCAAAATCTACCCAGTTTTGTAGAAATTTCCATTTTCCTGGCTTGAAGAAAATCTGTTACTTATTAGAAAAAAATTCAAGGAGTAACCACTGCACGAGTAACCTACTCATGAGCCTGCACAGAGAACATAAGTACTGTAGTTTTAACAAGTTCTAAGATTGCTGCATGCAGGCAACAAATCCCAGTGCTGTTACTTAGAAACTTATGCCATTTTCTTTTTCTTTTTTGTGTTTTTTTTTTTTTTTTTTTTTTAAGCAGCAGCAAAACAAGAGAATTGGAAAGAAGGCTGGAAGTTCAAGAAGAGCAACAGTTTGCTTATTTCCAGCAAATCTGCAAAAAAAATCTACAAAAGTCACATTTTGCCACTTAAAAAGAGGGAAAGGCTGTTGCTGAGAAAGGTGGCTGCTACCTATGTCTAATGCACCCAGTAGCAATTTGCTGAGATTCATGTTTAGCAATAGTTGTGCATGTATACATACATGCATATATACATCAGCTTTATGAGTCTACAATAGTAGGTGAAGGGCATGAGAGGCTGACACTAAATACTTAAAACCAAAGTAAAAGTGTAAATTTGTAGATTTTGTACTGTCTTTTTCCTAGATACTTCAAAGGGCAGTTTTGAACCTTCGATTTCTAAGACAAGATTACTCTTTCTCCTGCACACATTCCTTCTACGGAGAGGAAAAACCCATGGATTAGAAAAACATTCAGGAAATTGTGAATATTCCCTTTTCTTTTCCTCTTCCAAAATAGTTCTATTTCATAAACTAAAAACTAATTTTCCACATCTAAGAGACAACAAAAATATCTGGGATGGTTTTCCAACCTAAACCACCTCAAACTCTGTTAGCAGTCAGAAGATATCTCTGAATTTTACCTTCGAACTTTAAAGAATATGTTTTTCTAATCATTCTTATAACAAAGGCTTCAATATAGCAAGTCTAACACATGATATAGTAAACTTTATAAGCCCATTATTATTGCAGCATACAATAGTATCAAAGAGAAATACAGGAACGCTCAGAATAGCATGTTAAATCATGCGTATTTCCAATTGCTGTTTTCAAGTAGCAAGTTGCAAGATGATGAACCACTCACTGGTTAAGTCGACAGAATGCATTTTCAATACTTCATCATTTAATGTTATTAAAATAATTTCATATTTGCATACAGAATGTCATATGGCATATTATTTACAAAATAGCTCAATGTCATATAAAATTGCTTACATTCAGTACGGGAAGTTAATAATTATTCTGGCTAAATAACAAGAAATCAAAATCATTCCCTGTATGCAAACTTTATTTCTTAAACAAAGTTAAACAGCCGTAATATTTTCCATCTTTTACTCCTCACTATCCTTTATTGTCAGCTATGATTGCCTCCAGACAAAGAAAAACAACTACCTTCGCTTCTGCCTTACAACTGGCAAACTGTTTTGCCTTACAGTTGGTAAAAGATCAGCATTGATGTGAAAATTATTACACATTACTGCCTTTTATGTATGTATAAAATTCAATTTTTTACCTTATCAAAATTAACTTAACCTTGGATAATCTGTTACTGAGCTTCCCTACTTGGCCTCTTCAATTTTCATTTGTTGCAATTTCAGGCTTGGGCATACTTATGATTAAGTTACAGAATACCTGAACTGTTGGAAAACAAATACTTGAAGAGCAGAGCTTGCACAGAATTTGCTTTCTTTCAGCATCAAAAAACTTTGGCAAGAACGAGTGAATGACATTTTTAGTGAAAAGAATTCTATTTCTTGTCTTCGTACTCAAACTTTATGTTATGCAAAAACCTGAAATTACACACTTGAAATCAATGGGCATTACTGAAGTAATATAATTAAAATATTTCTGGTTTGAAAATTATCTTCTCTTAAAAATAAGTTAGAAGTATATTTGACATATAATAATTATGTTACGAACAGGGGCAGAACTCTATTTTACACACCTTTCCACTTTCCTGAAGACATAAATTACTGCTCATGTAAAAATAAGGCTGGTAAAAAACTTGAGGGAAACACTTTAGCCAATATTTCAGTCTATAAATTTTATGTCAAAAGATCATAAACTAAATTCTTTTCAAGAAACTTAAACAGAATACCACAAGTTCTCTCAATTTGCTAACAGACTGCAAGCGAGTGCTTCTACCTGCTATGGGAACTGGATTAAGACCTCAACGAGTCTGCTGAGTCAACATAGAGCGTGTAAAATATGGCAGGGGGGACAGTACTTATCCAGTTCCCACATACCAATGTAAAAGGGTTTCAACTTCTCTGTCCCAATTACAAGTATTAAATAAACTGCTATTATGGACATTAACAGAATACATTAATAGCATGACTGTGTTGATTTTCATAAGCTTTCAGTAAATTTAGAAACTCACATTAGTACTGGGTCGCTTCTCTTAAGTTCAGCAATATATACTTGTACGCAATGTTTTTTACTGTTGTGGTCCAGTGAACAGGAGCTGCAAACATCCATGAATGATATCAAAAAGTACAGACGGCTTTTCATCGGTATACTATTAGTTATGGGTATATGTTTCAAAACCAGTCTTTGACGTTAAGCTATACAGGCTTATATAGACAGTTATATGCAATCCTTAGATCACTATAAATCCGAATCAGAGAAGTAAAACTGTAAGCCTGTGTATGGAACAGAATACACTGCTATTCGAAGAATAACCATTTCTTGAGGCCTCACATGAAGATGCCAATTAAAAAACACTAATTTCACACCCAAAGTGTCCACAACTGTGCTGTAAGATCTATACTCAATGTGTTACACGCACACTGTAGTAGTAGATGACAAATCTCCATTTGCCACCATCACCCAACGACCATGTTCCCTGGCTGTGCTTTGGAACCGTTAGAAGCTAAATTTTAAAATTTGTCAAACATTTTCTGCTATCCTTCCCTTCAGGATTAAAAAAAATAAATTCTGGCTGTATTGTAAATGTGGATGCACTGAATAATAATTTTATTCCTCTGTTACAGAAGATTTCCTAGGTCTGAGAACAAGATCTTTGATAGAGGTAGTGAATTCCTGGAGCTCTTTTCGAATCGTATCTGCTCCTTCCTCCTCGGCCACGTTATCTGTTGTGCCACCATCTCCCTGTTCAGTTTTCTTAGTCTGGCTGATCAATTGCTTCACTACTAATCCCTGGTATTTGACTAACAGAGAATGCTGATCCTGAGGGGAAAAAACAGAACAAAACAAAGGAATGTCAACATTATGGAGAAGGTACACTAAATAAAGATTAAATTTTTAAAAAAGCACTCTCCCATTCTTGCCTAAAGCAGGCTAGTGATATATAAATACATTTCCATCAAGGTATTTTGCAACTTAAATTCTGAGACATTCAAAGAGGCAGAAAAATGAAAGTGCATCCATGCTGCAAGAACAGGACAACTAACCACTGAAGCAGGAAAGTAATGCAGTTAGTAAACATCACCAGTTTTGGCAGATTATAATACAGAATTTCAATATTTTTCCTTTTGAAGAGGTATATCTTTCTCTAAAACTGAATTAAAAAATCTAAAAAAGCAACCTTTTAAAAAGCAAAGCTGGGAGGAAAGAAAGGGTAAAATGTTTTCGTTATGAGAATTACAACATCCCTCAATGCACAGCTGTCACTATGGAGAAATGCAACAGCTACAGTACTAATAACAGATTGATTTTTATTAAAAAATATTGAAGACAGATCCCTGAAATTATAGGTTTGAAATGCAATACAGATCAGAGAAATTGCACAGTCTATACACAAAGTAATGAATAGACATGAATACATGAAGGTGCCACTCTTATGCAGTAGAAACAGTGTAAGGCACAACTTTTATGTTCTGTCACAGAAAAAAGGTACTTCCCCCTTGAAAAGCTAGAGAGGCATACCTCTGGGATCTTGCCACTTAGGAAATTAACGATCTGTGGTACTGATCTTCCTGGTGCATGAAGCATACAGTGAGTTGAAAACTGAAATAACAGTACTGATGTCAGGTGCAGAACAAGAGATGGATCTTCTGTGACTTTCAGCTGTTCAATCAGAGCTTGTCTATGCTGAAACAAGACTTGCCTATGGAACAGGAATACATTATATAAAATATGTTTCTTATTCTGTCTTATAGTAGTTGATAATAGACTCTAAAACATATCTAACTTCAGTGAATTTTAATTTTCTCCTCTGACTGACCAGTTTTTAATGTGAAATTCAACATAAAAAAAAAGCTAGCGCTGGTGTTTGTCAGATTTTGAAAAGCCCCTTAGAGAATTTATTAACTGATATGTTGCAGTAAGCAATCACTCAAGCAAATTAGCTAAATATGAACCCTCCCCTCCTCTTTCTCCCATGTAATTAGGACTGCCTGGCTTTGTATTTTCCAGTTAAACAGTCTGGAAGACTGCCTCTTACACAGTAAGACTGCCTCTTAACACGTTCTGTGTGACCGCTACCAAGCTAACCATCTGACACCTGTGCAGCAACAGAGCTACATCTCACATACTTTGCATAGAATACATAAGATTAAGGTTACCTTTCCTTCTTTTTGTCTCCTTTTTTCACCATAATACCACAAACATCCACTGCGGAATCCAGGCATGAAAGAAAATCTTCTACACTCTATTTAAAAATGATATAAATATTCAATCGGTTATCAATCCAAAAAAAGATTACTTTTCACAATTAACCACATAGATGAGTGTGAATACATTTGGAATAAAATATGGAAGAAAAGACGAAGTAAAAAGTATTTAGTAGAAATGAACTTTATTCATTTTCCAATAGTTCCTATATTTAAATACTAAAACAAATGAGAATCCATTAGTCTTAAAAATAGAACTAAAAAAGGAATACATGTTCTACAATTATTGTCAGATTTTTGTTTCTATCACTATGGTGTTTTGCATAACATAGTAAGTTACTTGTCTTTGTACTTACACTGCCATTATCTGAAGGGTATTTAAAAAAATATCCAGGATTTTACTAGTTAAGAAATATATGGGAGAACAATCAAGAACTTCAGGAATGAAATACAAGAAAGATCAACCACTTTAAACTGCAGATTGTCTCTCAGCTTTTATTTTTCTCACCTGCACACACAAGATACACTGGATTCCATCTGGAAGCAAAGAGCTAAGTGACTATCAGTATCAAAATGTAAATTCACCTTTTCACCTCTTAAAATTGACAGGCATGAAAATGTACTTACTCTCACTAACTCACTCAAGTTCAAAAGATTATTTTGCCTTCATCCTTCACAGCAGTAGCAGTTAAGTACTACACTGTGTATGTCAGCTGTTTATTAGCACTGCATCAGCAGAATGAAAAATCTGAACTCAAAGATTCTCAATCACTTTACCTTGCCATTAAGAGAAGTATGCAGTTTAGCTAAAGGACCTCTGGTGTCTTCTGACAGTTTACCTAAAATCTTGGTCCGGACCTGCATGAGACAAGAATGGAAATAATCCATAATATTAATTACCATTTTAGCTGAGAGCATATTTAAACAGAAGATAATTAAATAAACATCACAGATCTACTTGAGACTGTTAAAAAGGAACTGTTATCTGTGTACCTCACTTGTGATTGCAGAATAATTTTCTGTTGTCATCATTGACTCAGATGCTAGGAAGTTGAAAATAAGATTTGTAATGTCTGTACAGACAGTCTTCAACAGGTGTTTGGCAAGGTTAGCCTGAGTCTCATCTGTTAAAAGAAATAAGTGATTGAAAGTAACTTATTATAGATATCTGATTCCTGCGACAGTTATCACAGCACTTGCTAAAATGTGGGTGCTATCAACCATTAATAGTATGAGAAAGTTATCTGGATACACGAAGCTAACATCACTTGTTCGCAGTTTCTTACGGAACACTTCAGTGAAAAATGTGAGCTTTCAGGTCTGTTAGTACATTTTAATGCATTGTTAGTATTTCAAAGGTGTATCTGTATGAGCAGCAAATGAGTCCCTGTACAATCCTCCTGAACCACTAATGAACAACCACTGCTATCCACCAGTGAGTAAAAAGTATGTAAAGGAAAAGACTACAGGACAAGTAGTTAAACAGAAGAGCAGGCACATGACTTAAGATTGAAACAGTAGAATTTTAGGAAAGAGGCTACAGAACACATGTACAAGAACAGAGTCTAATGGGAAATAATTCCAGTTTCTCCTAAACATGGGAATATCTGGGGATTTTGCAGCAGTGGTAGGCAGTGTAAACACATCCCTTTTTAAACCGTTGCTCTTCTTTGACCTTGAATGCAGATACTGGAATAAATTCAACACTCTTGAAGGACCATATGAATTTTTTAAAGTACTGAATAGATATTTATTGTACCTGTGAAGTGTTTTGTTCCCTTTTCAAATAACCGAATGTTGTTGTACAAGTTTGAGAATTCCTCCTGCAAGTCTTTCATAGTCTGTCTTCTGCTAGCTCCAGAGGAAGATGTTGAAGACATAAAAAGAGAACGCACAACTTCTTGATAAGTTTTTGTTAAAGGTCTTAGTACAGGAAAGAAGAAAAGAGAAAAAGGGAACATTAGCAAGTGTAAAACTGTGGAAGGTTTTTCCAAATATATCAGCAATAGAGAAAGCTACCTCATCACACAGTGAATGAATGCGACATGAATGCCACAGAATGGTGAGATAAATAAAAGCAAGTAATTGAAATCAGAAAAAAAGCACTAGGAAATTAAAATGTACTTCTGTAATTGCAAAAGTACAATTGGTTACAGTATGCATAGTACGTATATGCTTGCCAAGCTTTTCACAAAATCACAGAATCTTAGGACTTGGAAGGGACC